GCAGAAGAATTAAGGGGACGCCTTAGCCGTTTTGCTCAATTTCGTATACGATCGACGCGTGCGAATCGAGACGAGTGATGAACCGTTTGCCACCATTACTTAATTAAATGCCTACAAACAACAACAACTTGCAACACTCGATCGTTCGTAAAAAGAAAATATTCGCAGAATGATCGGGGCAAATGGCCACAAGAATCGAGCAAGTTGCACACAGTGTAGTACTAAACCATTACGATTGACCCAATCTCCATGCAGCCTTTTCCGTTCTTCTGTTGTGCTCTCCTTCGAGTCAATGAAAAACTAAACTAAACTGAATAAAATGTTTTGTTTGTGTATCAGGGATGGCTAATAGTCTATTGTAGTCTATGATGTGTGATCACAAAAGAGGTCCCTTCAAACCTTAGCTGGGCTAAGCGACAATCGTGGCCACCACGGATATTATTCAGCTTAATTAGTAATGCTGTGTAAATATTAAGTCGAAGTCGCGTTCACATCAAACCCGTTTGCGCGCTGCTAGCTGCACCCGACTCCAATAGAATAGATCCAGAAGTACTGACAGCTAATTGGTCCTTATCACCATGGCGCCAATCCAGGCTAATTTTCTTTCGCAAGCGCAAGAGAGCAGTGCTAGCTTTTCATTAAATTCGAACGCATTGGTTGGGAGAAAGGATGATCAGGGGTCAGCACATTCAAAGCGATCAGTTTCTTTCGTGTCAGGCTATGGAATCCTATAGAATTACTGCGCACAGGACATACTGTGCACAGAAAATGACACACTTCTCGATAATCTATCGTCGTTCGAACGTATGAACCGTCAAAGAATAATACGGAAACTAGGGGAGCCTGAACAAAAATCCGGTACGGCATGCCTAAATTTAGATGATCCACCAGCTAGGCTCCAGAAAGCGGGGCGACTCTTGGAGCAAATACGCCATCTACGGAAGCCAAAGCGGCTACTTGAGATGCTTAAGCGCCAGAAGATCCTAGGCTAAATCGATGGAAGGCTCATAGCTCGATGTTAAAAAATGTCGAGCATTAGATAAAGTAGATTCTCAAGGCACTCGGCCATGCCCGTCGCGTTGTACGCGACAAAATAACTTTTAAAAAATTAGCCGCTCGACCATTATTTATTCTATTCTATTTTATTTTAAGCCCGGAATAGGTGACCATACAAGATAGCTTTTATTATCTATTTTTTTTAGTCCACTATGCGTTTCTAGGATTCCTGGAAGAGCGCTTGTCTGTCCACCTCGCCCCCCGCGTCACTAGAATGAATGACGGCCATATGTCGACTGCACCTCCTTTGTTCTTAATAGCGTCCTAAATTTTCTCCGCGGAAGTTTGAATATTCATGCATGGTCAATGTGCATGGTTACAATTTCCCCATTTGTTCACGCGTCATGGACTTAATAGATTAGAAGTGTCAAAGTTGGGTTAACGTATCATGAGTATGGAAAATAAGTTAAGAAAAATCGAAGCGTCCCTGTCCGCAACTTAAAATCGGGACTCTGCTTGGACAATCCTGTCCTTACAAGACTGACGGGCGATTCGCTGACAGATGCATGAAGCATTCGTTCTCTGTGTGACATTACCTGAGAGGGAAAGAGTTATTTTTACAGGAATCCCATATCGAGCGATCACAAGCCGCGCTCTGGGGAGTTCGCACCGCAAACACTAAAGAGGCATACCCAGTACAGGGGAACGGATCCCGAAGCGTTGCCTGCATACAACATGCATGGTGTCCTTGATTGCTGCGTGTCCTACAAATGACCTTGTTTATTTTAATATTATTTCCGAAGCGGACGCCTGGGTGTTCTTGGCAAGGGCATCAGATTAGAAAAGCATGAGCAGCAACTGGGTACAACTGTAAATAATGCATTTTGAGGGTCGTTGGTTGTCAATCCAGCATACTAACGCGACGTGAATGGAATATCGACTAAGGTAAGTTCACTTCATGGTTCGGTTTGTTTAAAGAAAACAGAGATAAATCACCAGCGAGCGGTGATCAGGTTATCGCTGGTAGCCTTGTCCCTGCTCCTTTCTTAAGTGACCTCCTTGGGCTACAGCGAAGAAAATGTGGATGCTGAAGGGCCAGACCTTGATATCGTCGTCTACATATCGTACACACGCATTCTTCTCCTCTTGCAGATTAGCGTAATGAATTCAGTCCCGCTTTTTTCCCGGCACAGCTTCCGAGACTATATCTAACCGTCAGGCGCAGCTGACACATGATGCGCTTCAGAGTGGTATCTGCCGAAGTACCTACCACAATGGCCCTATTGTGGATGTACGCAGAACGACGCAGATACGATCCAACCAAGTCGTCTAACGGATGTTTGATTGGATACGGCATTTGCTCATGCTTCCCAGGAGCCTTATTGAATCCTATTAAAGCTGCTGTTCCGAAGCAAATGAGTGCATCTACCTAGACTCGCCCGCGGGGGATCCAAAACGGTGCATGGCCTCTTATGTCGAAGAAAATACGATACACAGAGCGCTGGCTGGTGTTTAATCTGTGTCCAATTGAACTGTTGTGCTCGTGTGCTACAAGATGCGAGAAAACCATGGGCCAATGGCGCAACATAGGGGCTGGAATGTGGCCAATGATACAATACCTATTGTCATTGAGAGTGCGCCTGGAGAAATAATCATTACAGAGCACACAGCCTTGTTCCCAGGGGCCGCAATGAGAAGTGGACGCCAGGATTATGCGCTGCCATATCTTACCATTGCCGCTGAGGCTAATCTAGAAGACATGATAGGTCATCACCATCGCCACCGGTTTTTTTCCTCTTTTGTTCATATCATGCACAATGAAGGGAGATGCGCTCATTACACACGTCAAAAATACATGTACCCTCCACAGTTGAGGAAAACAAGCGTTGCACAAGATACTCGGCAAACGGCCGATTTGAAAACAAGAACTTGGTATTTGAAGGCAGGTTGCCCCTGATTTGAAAAGAGGGTTGCTAATGAACCGAGTGATCAAGAGGGTAGGGTCTCTAGAAAAGTGCGGGATGCTTCAAGAAGTTTGATTTGCTCTTTCATCCTCGGCTAGCATGATGCTACGCGAAACGGATATAAGGGAAATGTTTGCAGGACTTAAGTAAACTTGTATTTCGATAAACGAACGACAGCATGGCGATGCATGTAGTTGACGAATAGACGATGATTAGTAACTCTTTGTTTGCGAGCGAGCATTACAAAAAAAAACGCGGCAAGTCTTTGAACTTGTCAACAGGACAAACCTTTCCGCATCAACCAGCGTATAAACGCATTGAATCCATAGCGTCAATGATACGAATGTACTACTATCCAGCAAATTCGCCGACTTTCCCGCGGATTTCTCTTCACGATGTTACAAAATAATACGATAAGAATGGAGTTGACCTTATTCCACCTTGAATTGACCCTGGGCAATATCACTTTCGCTCTGTAATCTTCGGCAACCTGCCAAATGCTCTTCTAACCTTTCCTTCCCCGAACCTATTCCAACGTCTCAAACGCGCTTTCGGCGCCTTGACCTCAATCTGCAGACACCAGTGGCTCACTAAGTGAGCACTACGTTGTAATAAAAGACGCTATGGCTTTCAACCACATTTGCCTTAGCCTGCTTTGTATTGAGAAAGCGACCAAGTGACCAACCTCCAGTCCAATATCATCGTACCAATCGAAGTTGATGTGAAGTATTGGGCTATTCTAAACCATGAAAATCGAATAAAAAGAGTAGAATGAGCTTTAGCGATCGCATCTATAACTTTTTATCGCTCTCAAAATAGTGATCTTGACGCTTGTCCTTCTTATTGTGCAGTCGACTTGGGCGCTTTTTTCGTTTATTCTCTCTCTGGAAATAATAATAATAATACAATACCTTCATCCCGATATGAAGAGTCGAACAGTGACGACAGTCGATCTACGTACGCTTCGCAAGTGGGCTGACGCGTTTTCTTCATTCTTTTACGTTTACCCTCCTGCGGCACTTTACAAATGAAGCATGGGTCGACAAGCTGCCATATACATGCAGTACTGTGTGGAGAGGGTCGCTGTTTCAAACTCCCATGCGGTGCTGGATGTGTGTGCATGTGTTTTGTCGAACCCTACATTGTGCAAGGAGCGAGACAGAGCAGCTCCGCAGCGTTCACGACGGGTTCTGCTAGCATGGTCAATTTCCTACTACTGCTCACCTATGCTCGCATAACGTATCCGTAGTACTTTCGCTTGCGATTTGGCGCGTATTTGTTCGTATGGGCCTGCTAAGTAGCCGTAAAGCCTAGTATAAGTTTGCTTTGTATTTTCTTGGGCTTTCATTTCCGAGCAACAGCACAACAGCACTTCGTTTTGTCCGAATGCTGTCCAAAAAATATGTTCGCTGAAGATGAAAGCGAGAAAGGACTTGTTCCTAGCAGTAAAGGCGCTTTAAGGGAATGAAATGGACCCAAATGGACCTACAGCAAAGACTACCCGAGAGGCGTGTTCTCTCGTTTCTGAAGTCATATTATGACGAGCAATGTATCTCAATGAGATTTAGACCGCCATCTTATACTAGTTCGCAGCTGGCCTTGTGTGCGCTTTGGACTATAATAAAACGTAACATTCGAAGAACACAGCTATTCCAATTGTATATATCTTTTCAGAGTATGTTGTGTGTACATGAGCAACAGCAGTAAAGTTGAAATATACTTTATTCTTGAGGCACTTCATGTGTAAGGAAAGTGGCTTGATGGCCAAGATATGCGTGATTGCACTTACAGCTATGCATAGATGCCAATGCGAATATAGTGCGCGACGTAAATGTCGATTGTGGGCCAAGAATGGTCAGTACTCCCAAGTGAGAATGAATGGAGAGAATGAAACTGAAGTCAGTGAAGCATAGCCCAAGCACGCGTCGTTTTCGCGTTCCCGAACAGGTAGAGGAAATAAGTCCTTGATGAGCAGGCAGCTTCAGGTTCGCGTCGTCGGTATGGCCTCGCTTTTCACCCAGAAGAAAGAATAGCAAAAAGGTTAGACGAATTATTATAGGTTGTATCCATACGCGCGCAGCAGTACTATGCAAATGGATGGGGTCATCGCAGCATCTGATAAGCGAAAGAGCGTAGTTGAGGGTCCAGCCCAAAGGACTGGTGCTATCAACAAGGTTTGAAAGTGGTTATCAGATTATTTTTTTCAATCTCCTAAGAAGTATATCTTTTTCCTCATATACACATCATCTGCACTTCTTCGAGCATTTTTCTTTTCCTCACTTGTCTGGACTCCATCTCTTTTCTGTTTTGCATTCTCTATTATCGATCCTCCTGTCTACATTCAAAAAGATTGATCTCAAACCAATGACTCACCACGGGTCATCTACAGCAAGAAATGCCTCAAAGGCAGCAGCACCCTCGACTGCAGTGTCGGTCCCTAAGGTCACACGGATCGTGTTCACGGCACTACTGCTCGACATCCTGGCCTTCACCATCATCCTGCCCTTGTTTCCAAGGCTGCTTCAGTTCTATCGTGAGAGCGAGCATGGCGACCAGGTATGGAATTCTTTTTATCAGCTTCAATGTTCCATTGCTTTTGATCGTGATTACTGAGGGTGTGCACAAAGGAAAACGAATCTTACTTGGATTAGCGATCGCTGCCTCGGCGAATCAGTAACAACTGATGATGACGTTGGTGCATGCACCCTGGATTGCCATGACCCGTTGATGCAAATCCGTTTTTGATGTGATCATGATGTGATGGACTTTCATTGCCTAAAACGGGCACTCACGTATCCATGTGGATGACAATTCAGCTTGCACAAGATCTTTTTTTTTTAATTTCAATCACGCTGTTTAATAACATTGTAGACATCGCTACTGGCATGGTCGCTGTCGCGCCTAACAGAGTTCCAGAATATCATTGGGCTGAACGATCACCAGGGTTCAGGATCCCAGTCCATCAAGCGGCCACCGAAAATGGACATTGTCCTTCTGGGCGGTGCACTCGGATCGCTATTCTCAGTCTTGCAGTTTGTCGCTTCTCCAGTCATTGGAAAGCTCTCTGATGTCCTGGGACGACGACGGGTGCTTTTGATGACAATGGTAGGGACTTTTTACTTCACGAACAATACTTGCAGATATTGTTAGGCTTCTATCTAATATTGACCGCTCTTATATGTTGAATCGTACATAGCTTGGAAACCTGATCTCGTGCGGCGTCTGGCTGTTTGCTGGCTCCTTTGAGCTCTTTGTACTCTCCAGAATCATTGGTGGACTTAGCGAAGGCAATGTCCAGCTATCGATCGCCATGATTTCCGACATCACAACTCCAGCAACGCGATCACGAGGATTGGCTATGGTGGGAATTGCGTTTGCGATTGCTTTCACGGTCGGACCAGCATTAGGAGCGTACTTTGCAAACAAGGACCTGGTCGCTGCGTTCCCTGGACTGGCACTGTATGGGCTGCACCCCTTCTCTGGATCAGCACTCTTGGCGATGGTGCTTTTGACGGTTGAGACCCTCTACTTGTATGGCAAACTGCCAGAAACTAACTCAGAGAGCTGGAGAATGGCAGTGCGGCAGACCGTGGAGGACGAGAAGAAGACTAGAGCCGAAGGCAACGGAGGAACTTCGTCTGCTTCTTTAGGATCGAACGCGAACGGATCATCAAACATTACTCCAGTTGTGATGGATACGGCGAGCATCATTCACTTGCAGCACAGATATCTGAGCCGGCTTTCGTTCACGCATTTTGCACACTTGTTCCTATTCTCAGGAATGGAGTTCACCTTGACATTCTTGACCTTTCATCTCTTCGACTTCACTCACATGCAGCAGGGCGCCTTGCTGGGCTACATCGGGATCTTGTCCTCATTGATTCAGGGCGGCTATGTGCGTCGACGGGCGAACAAGGTTGGAGAGAAGCGCATGGTACTCCAGGGTATGTTCGCCGCCGCAATCGGATTGGGATGCATTGCGCTCGTCTCCGGTGACGGCTCAGCTTCAGAAGATTTCTTAGTCCTGAACGAGAAACTTGAGTCGTCCGTACTCAGGAACGTAGTGCTGTGGCTCAACGCTCAGGATTGGTCGAGGAAGACACGGATGTGGGGTCTTTATGCCGGAGCAACGGGACTGGCCGTCACCAGCGCGACCGTCGTCAATTGTCTGACTAGTTTGGCTAGCCTGGTGTGCGACATGGGATCCGATAGCCCCTCTGCAGCGTCGAGATCCAAGGATAACACATCTGATGCGGTGCAGCCGATCGGCAAGGGCCTCGCTTTGGGCCGTTTCCGTTCCTGGGGCCAACTTGGCCGTGCTATGGGCCCGATCGCAGCGTGCAGTTTGTACTGGCGTGTGGGACCACTGGTTTGCTACGGAGCTGTATCTCTGGCGGTTGCAGCCGTGACAATTCTGGCAAGCAGAATCCTGCCCGAGGTGCGCAAGCTTCCTATCCGAACAAAAGTCGCTTCGACAGAAACGGCCATTTTGAAGAAGAGGCAGTAGAAGGCGCATTTTTGTTCATATATAAACATTCACAGTGCCACAATATTGCATGATAAACGATGTGTCGGGGCGATGTAGTTATGCTTTGCCAGCCTTGTGCTTCTAGACTAAAAAGCGGCTAATTCAGAGAGAGCGGCGCAGTGCGAAGGCACCTAACTTTCTTCATGCTTCTTTGCCTCGCCACTTCCTAATCATTCCACACACTCTCTCGGCGACAGCATGGAGGTAAGCATGCCGTTCCTGCACTTAGCAGGGATTCTCATGGCGCATCTGATTCCTAGTCTGATTCCGCGCTTGGGCGTTCAAGTGAGCTGTGGCAACTTATCGTTGTCTTTTATTTTATGGTCGTATCATTAGGCTCCAGTAGATCAGCCCGACGAGTCTTTGGCTACCAGCAGCAATGACAGCCATATCACCAGCAGTCCCAAGAAAAAGGTCCGGCTTGTCGATCTCCTCTACGACACCATCCTGCTCGAGAAAGCAACCGCCTCGCGGTCCAACAAATTCGACCCGACCCTTCTTGAATCAACCAAACCGAACTATGCCTTTGTTTCGTTCGAGGAGCTGACAGCCGGGTTCAAGCTCGCTCAGGAAACTTGTCGAATCTACCACGAAGGACACCCTGGGGATGCTGGGAGCGCCGCAATGGAGTCGCAGTTTAAGCAGGCGGGTTTGAGTGACAACAAGAAAATCCGCGAGTACATCCTCGCGAATGGAGGCTGCAACGGGGTTGTTTTACCGCAACATGAACAGGGTCCCGATGAAATTCAACAAGATGAACAGGAGGACGACTTGGAGCCAAGGGTCCTTATTCCAAAGGAGGAGGATATGTCGATTTCGGAGGGTATCCAAGTCCCGATCCTTGATCGAACCCACATCCAACGGTTTGAGGGACTCTACGCTGAGGCCGAATCAGCATGTCAGGATATGATTGCTCGAGTTGTCTACAGTCTGCGAACGAAACTGTGGAACCTGATGGTACAGGCCGCGGAGCAGGATCGTGTGTTGGACCAGGCGATCTTTCTGTACACATCAAGGTCCTTCGAACTGAAAACCAAGAAGACGAAACAAAAGGCTGTCGAGAAATCTGGCAACAGCGCAAACCAAGCACTGTCACACAAGAACAGCGAGCATGCAGCGGCGATCGCACACCAGTTGGCGGGACTCGTTATCAGTACGGATCGGAGTAGAGTCACGTATGGACTTCAGGGACAATTTGATCTTCCTGTCGTGATACCGCAAAATGATGCCTATGAGAAAGTCAGCGCGCCCATGATGGCGCTTTATCAAGTAAGGGAGGCATCTGTTGCAGCAAATGAAGTATCTGTATTGGATGTCGCCTGGCTTTAGCGACATCATGCTGAAGGTTAACTTTTGATTGCTTCGATTTCATGGACACTCTAGCGCCTGGTGCCAAGTCAGGATTATAGGACCAAGCGGACGGGACTCATCAAGAAGCTCCAGGCACTCCTGGACTCTGCCTTCCCGGGAGAGAGCCTTCGTTTAGAGGTCTTTGGGTAACGATCTCCCATGCCGAATATATCATCTTCAAGTGCTTATATACGCATATACGCGATATACATTAATACAAAGGTTTTTTTTTCTTTATACAATGGCTCTCGTTGAATAGTTCATATGCCAGTGGACTGGGATCAGAGTCGAGTGATGCAGACTTGTGTATCACAACGACTACGTTCCAACAGACAAAATCATATAACAATATGCGCATATTGGCGACAGTTTTGCGACGGGCAGGTATGATTCAAGTGCAACCGATCACGAACGCTCGAGTGCCGATCGTCAAGTTTGTGGACCCAGTCTCGAGGATTAACTGCGATATCAACACGAACCATGTTCTTGGGATCCACAACAGCGAGCTGATACGATGCTACACGCTCATCGACGATCGTGTACGACCATTGCTGTACAACATCAAAGCCCTTGTCAAGAAGCATCAAATCAATGACTCCAGTCAGGCTTGGCTTAGCAGTTATGCCTATGTGATGATGGCGATCGGATTCTTGCAAGCGCAGGTATGTGAACGACTGGTATTGGACCCATTTATTGCTGGGAAACATGCGGACCAAATTCTCATATCCACTCTACGATTACGAAAACAAAATAGGAGCCGCCGATCTTGCCGTCATTGCAGGCACAACCCCAGGAGCGCATGAGCGCCCTCTTTGTTCAAATGGATCACGAGGGCCGAGGAGGCAAGGACATGATGGACTGCACATTCGACCGCGATTTTACCCGGTACAAGGATTTCGGAGCGGCGAATACGAAGTCGGTCGGCCAGCTCTTGATCGAGTTCTTCGAGTACTTTACGCGTTATTTTGACTACCAGACTAAGGAGGTCAATGTTCGACTTGGTGGAGGGGTCAGGACACGCGATGAGATTACGAGAGCCAGGGAGAAAGCAGCACGGAATGACGGCAACAACAAACGGTTACCGCAGCATGGGAAGGGGGAGAAAAAGCTGGTGGTCATGGACCCGTTTATTCGAGACCGCAACGTAGCGGGATCATGTACGGGGCGACACCTGGTTAGAGTGTGGAAGATCTTTGAGGTGGTGTATCTGAACTTGAGTAGGGGCGAATTCGAGAAGGCGCTTGAACCCATCTCTGAGTATGCGCTTGAACAGTACAGCGTGCCGCTGTGGCAGCGGCAGCGGCAGCAACAGCCGAAGCAGCCGAAGCAGCCGAAGCAGCCGAAGCAGCCGAAGCGTCCGACACAGACTCAGAAGCAATCGCAGAAGCAGTCAGTCCAAACGAGTGCCGTACCAGTCGCTGTCGTTACAACCGCGGGAGCTCCGGAAACCCATCGGCCGAGGGAGAGAAAGACTGAGTGGAAGCATGAGCGAAAGAGAGAGCAGCTTCCGAAATCCACATCAGCACCCGTTCTGCCTAGTGCTGATGTACCAGGGCCAGAGAAGACACCGTCGATCAGGACAGATATGGCAACAACCTTACAACCTGCAACTACAGCGCCGGCAGTTCCTGCAGCCCATCCGGCGCACAAGGATCGTGCAAATGATGAGAACAAGAGCGCTGGGGATGAAGACGGTGGCCACAAAGACGATCCTCGCACCAACCTAGAGTCAACGTCCCGACAACGCAGGTACAGGAGGGCTACGGCGCGAGCGATGCACTATACGCAGAATTCTGTCAATACGACATCGAAGCAGCGGAATCAAGATTCTTTGAAGGTTTCTGCAGCAGGGCCTACTGCCGACTCTGCTGCTAATGCGGTGCCCTCACAGACAGGGCGCAGAGTCACTCAAACGAAGCCGATACAGGTCCTTAACGATCAGAAGAGCTACAATGATCAGATCAACCAGTCCCACAGCCACGTCAGGGACACAGCCGCTATTCCGAAGAAGCAGGGCTCACAACAACAGCAACGGCAACATCAACAGCAATACCAGGAGTTTCCTGTCCTACCAAAGACACAGGTGCTGTTGAACGGGACCAAAAGCGCAGGATCGGACTCAGGATCAACAGCAAACAATGGAGGCACCAACAGCAACAGTTCGTCCTCAAAATCGAAGCGAGTATCCAAGGCAGCAACAGTAAAAAAGGCGTCAACAGATGGATCCAAGCAGACACCTTAGACTTTATGTTTTCAAAAATGAGCAAAATACACAGTGATGACAAGAGTGGTTCTATTAAGATTAAGTTTTAATCGAACAAAAGACGATTGTAGCAGATTACGATGCATACAATGAAATAGTCGAGAAAAGCTAAGAAAAAAAGGATTGCATGGCAGCATCCTCTAGAGCTCTCATACGCCAACAGGCGTTGGTGTTGACTCCATGGCTGAATCCACTGGTGCTTCCGTTGGGGGTGTCGCAATCGTAGTAGCCGAGGGCGTAGTAACTGTCGATGGAGCCGCAGTCGTCGATTCCTTCTCAGTCTTGAACCTGAACAGATCCTTCCTATCTTCCGGGAGACCTCCATGGACGGCCCAATAGAGTCCACAGGTGTTGCACAGCGTCTTTTCGCCTCCAGGTCCCGAACGTAACATAAAGGTCGAATATGCGCCTAGCCCACATTGCTGGCACTGCCAGTCCTTGTAGCCGTCCATGTTCATGGCTTGATGTCGCTGAGTCAATCGACCACGTTTTGTGATTCTGCTCTGATAGCCTGGTACGCTGTACGACGAGGCACCGCGACGCTTCGTAAAACTGGATGTCGCTCTTCGGTTTCGTCTAGATTTGTAAGGAAGGCGACAAAAAAAAAAGGCACAGTGTTAGCCCTTGACCGAAAGAAGAGATGCCATAATACCTAGTCGCATTGCCACCATATAGAGAGGTTGTCGTACCGAATACTCCTCTCCCTGTCCTCCAAAATTTTTTCGTACTCCTCCGTGGTGAGTGTCTCAAGAGCTGGGCTCCAGCTCTCGCCTTCGTCAGCAAAACGGAATCCTGAATAAAGCGGTTCTGGCTCGAATCCTCGATCTAGTAATCGATCCTGCTTGAAGCGGTAGAGCTGCTCGTGAATCTCGTGTGCGATCATCGAAACGAATTCACCACCAATACCCAAATCCGCCGCCAACTGTCTCGCAAACTCCTCTGGCGTCAAGTCCGAGCCTACATCCCACTCGAAACGGTCCCGAAGATTGATGCCTCCAACATGCAGATCCAGCTATTTGTCACCAGTTATTTTAATCGAGTCTTGTTAGTAACGGTTCTTTCATTCGATTTCAATCAGGTTGGATTACGTCCCACATATTGGACATTACCTGAATGACAACTCTAGATCCTTCGGTGGGGACCTGGACCTCCGCGACTGGTTCAAACTCTGCGATCTGATTCCGAATCGACTGTGCGATCTCGGGGACGAACTTTGTGGTGCTCAAATCCAGATCATCGCACAGAATCTCTGCAAATTTCTCTGGCGTCAGCAGCTGCTCGTTCACGTTCCAGGTAAATGTATCGCGCAGTCGGTGATCGTCTGTGTCAATGTCCAGGCGGATGGGGACCAAAATCGCATCCTGATCTGCAACCGCCTCCAAGTCCCTTTGCGAACTATCAATGTTAGGAAGCAGTGCAAATACCATCAGTTGCATGCATAATGAAGCGCAGCATAGATTATAAAGTCCAAAAAAAAAAAAAAAAAAAAAAAAAGAAGCAAGGCGTCTTTGAGTGCGTGCTCTGAAGCGATGCTGCTACTTACTTGAAGACATGACGCGTCTTTCGGGGGCGACGTGCCCATGTCTTCTTCTCCTTCTCCATCCTCTCCTTTTCTAACAAGGCCTGCTGCTTCTGATGCCTAGTCGGTGTGCTGCGAGGCGAGTCATCAAAATCCCAATCGTCATCATCACTCTCTGCCATCGATACCACGGCTCGCTTGGCACGCCGTCCCAGTGCAGGCGGCAAGATTAAGGCGCTGTTTGCCTCCCGTATCCTTGCAGCATAGGTGCTAAAGGTTCCAAAAGCGTTGGCCATCCTAGAGGCTGAATTTGCGTTCGCTGTAGTGTTGTACTGAGCACTGTACCCATATGGAGCTCCAGCAGCCGGTGTAGCGTGCACGGGATAACGTGGCTGCATAGGCATGGCGGAGGGATGTGTGTGCTGTTGTTGCTGCGTTTGAGGCTGGTATACCTTGAACTGATGCTGTTGGTGGTACTGAGGTTGATGATGCTGAGGTTGGATCGGCTGTTGTTGTTGCTGGGGTTGGATCTGTTGGCGATTGGAACCGCGTGTGGAATAGTTAGAGGGTACAGGCGAGGCACGTTCGGATCCGGAGGGTCCTGAGCGACGTGCTGGAGCGTGGCTCTGCATCGTCGCGGAGGTGTGGTTCACCCACGAGGCCATGGCTCTGTCAGAAATTCCGTTTGTTTCCTTGCTGATAGTCGGGATGGATCCGATCGTGCTCGATGGAGAATGAAAGAGAGAAAGAGAGCAAGAAGGCGCGTCCTTAATGTTGACAGGTGTTCCTTTTGCTCTTGTAGATTGTCGCGCTGGTGTTGAGTCGTCAGAAAAAGGCGTTGGGCAACCTTGACTCTGATCACGCAGACCTTCTTTGTATTGCCAGGACCAGAAAAGAAATACGATCGGTTGGTCTACCCGGCGTGACCGCAGTGAGCGCGGGGACCTGGGAGCCTGGTCCCACCCTCGATACACTCACACACCGATAAGCAACGAGGATGAAGGCGGGAAGCGAGTACAGACACTCTTCAGGGAGACATTCGGAGTCCCGGGAGGGAATGCATGTTTGCGTGCAGGATCCAGAAGGGGGTGGCCATGTAGCCAATGGATATGAAAATTGCTCTGCAACGAACGAGGGCGTCAAAGCGTTCTCAAGCGGGCCCCCAGTCCCTGAATTTTGATTCTGTCATTGTGGTCATTGTGGGCGTTGACAACAAAGAGCCATTCCCTCTTTATTATTACTTCATGCATCGTATCCGCCTTTCTTCTTCCTCTTCCATCTCTCCTCATCGCTCGCCTCCTCCACTCTCATCAGACTCGTCCTCACCATGCGTTCCTCATCCCTCCTCTGGGTCGCCCTCAGCCCTCTCGTCCTCCTCGTCCTCCTCGCCCTCTCCTCTTCCTCAACCAACGTCGCAGCCCAGTCCACCAATTGCCACAACTGCATCCTCAAGGCAATCCCCACTGTCGGCAATTGTACCTCCCTCTCTGCCACTCAGCTCCAGACCCTTGACAAGGTCATCCTCGGCCAGAACGCCTTCTCCTCCATAAGTTCCTACAGCACCCAGGACCCCACTGGCTTTGCCTGCCTCACCGCCCTGATGTGGGACATTGTCGAGTACAAGGCCAAGCTCTGGGGCACCTGTCTCGACCCAACCAACTCCTGCCCCTGGGCCGAGATGATGCAGTGGTTGGAGATGATCCCAAAGATTGCCGCCATCTACGGCTCTCCTAACCCTCCAGTAAGGACACGCCCATCACTGATACGCGACGGAACGAACGAAACGATGGACGATTGTTCTTTTTTTCTCAGCTCTCATTTTTCTATTTATTCTTCTGGAACCTAACATTATCATCCGCCCATTTGTTTCATTCTTCACTCTTCTTTTAGGCACAGGTCTTGCAGAATGCACCGGCCTAAAGAAATGGTACCAAGCCCAACGTCTGGACAAGCGAGCGAAGGATAGTTTGCTCATGCTCATGCATTACATCTCAGCATCTGATATCCGTAATTGTATTCACACCACTCACCAATAAATAAATATAATCTATTTCAATTGAATAACACGGCACGGTTTGAAAAGGGTTTGGATGATGATGATTGAGGAACGACATCATTGTGTACAGCTCTGCTCTGATTCTTGTCGTCGTCGTTCAGATGAGCCAGATTCAACTTTTTTTTCTCAAGCAAAAGTGTGGCATATATACTTTATCTCGACGCGATGTACAGACAACTCCATAGCTTTTGATACACTCTTTCCTGTCCCTTCTCAACTATCAACCGTCCTTTGCAAAGCCAATAATAAAAAAATAAAATAAAAACGCCGTCGAATATCCTCTGTCTCCTTGTTCCTACGCTTCAACAAACAACATCAACCGATCCCTTATGCAACCTGGCCCTCTTCTATTCATTGAAAAACATGGTGTATAAATGAGAAGAACGCGTAAGTACCCACACTTCCCTATGAAAATGGAGAATAAAACCACTCAAATGGTAATACCAAGGATGTGCTTCTCAACAAGCGCATCGGGCGAAGGGCGTTCCTGGATCTTGGTTTTCAAAACATCCTCGAGCTGTGATCGCTTCAACTCGGCCTCCTTGCTTTGCAATGCAGGTGCCACATTCGAGGCTAACGTGTATTTTTAGTAAAGAAAGAAAAGAACGACCGCGTCCATGTTAATGTGAATTGGTATGCAGCACAGTTGTATACAATGCGTGACGAACAAAAAAAAAAAACCAGTGGCGCACGCTCTAAACATCCTTCTGTCCCTACCATGTAAGATATTGTGATCAATGAGCTCCGACACTGGAGGACGGTTCTCGATCTTGTGGGCCAACGCTGTCTCCAACTTGGCACGCTTGAGTTCCTCAGCCTGATGTTGGATCGCAGGCGCGATCTTTGGATCTGTATGACGAGATAAAGAAAAAAAAAAAAAGGGCACACGAGAAGAGTTAATAGTGTTGAACTCGTCAGAAAGAATCGTGCATAAGGGTCCTGGTGCGTCCCATTCAA